ACTCTGTATAGGGTTTCTGAGGAACGGCTGGTGAATTTGAACCACCAACCTTGCAGTTTAAATTGACCTTGCAACCTAGTGCTTATACTATAGCACCACACCAGGGCTCTAAAGATTACAGCCTTAGAAACATTATGGAGCAGTTTTACTCTGTCCTATAGGGTTGTTATGAGTGGGAGTCAACGCAAAAGGCTTTGGTTTTCTTCAAATATTACTTGTTGTTGTTGTTAAGTGCCATTGAGTCTGTTCTAACACATAGTGACCCTGTATAGGGTTTCTGAGGAGCAGCTGGTGAGTTTGAACCACTGACCACATGGTTCAAACCGACCTTGAGGCAGAGTGCCTATCCTACAGCACCACACTAGGGCTCCTATCAAATATTACTTAGAACTCCAAAGTATAAAACAAATAAAAGAGGAGTTGCTATGGTTGAAGTGGGATTGACAGTTTCTGACCCTCCCTTGCTCCCCAAGATGTTCCCAAGAGTGTCTACATAGACTCTTTGGACTCTAAGTGCTACAGTGTGAAAAACAAATAGATGAGTACTAGGATAGCTCCCATTCAGGAGCTATTGTAGTATTGGGGTGTTGCCCAATATTAACATTTCCGGTAATTACATTAGCTCAAGTTTATCGCAAAAGCTATTTTTAATCTACCATTTCCTTATACCTGATGATACTTTGGAGGTCCAGTTTTGTGACAGCCCGGGTCCCTTTGAACTGTCCAGTAAGTCAGAAATCACTGGGAAAGAGCAGGGATTCCTGGGATAAATTAAGTTCCTCATAATTTATCTTGACAAAAGGCTGAAGCCTTAAAATAATGTTGAGAAAAAGAAGCCAAACACAAAAGAATACCGAATGATTCCATTTATATAAAATATGAAAACAGATAACATTAACCTAAACAAAAGAAGTCAGGATAGGGATTAATTACCCTTGGAAGTTGACTGAAAGGAAGCAAGAGCTGTAGCTTTCAGTCACAGGGAATGTTCTGTTTCTTGATCTGGGTGCGGGTTGGTCATGTTCATTTTGTAGAAATTCATCAAGCTGTACCCTTAGGATATATACTCTTTTCCTGTATATTTGATATACAAAAGTTGTATTATGTCTTTTAATAAATACAAAAAGCATTAATTTTAAAATGCATTGGGTCACCTGCAGGGGGACCTATATACACTGTTATGAGTGCTGGACTACATATGCTCAGAGGTCTTCAGTCTTCTGAGACTGAAATATATTTTTGGAGAAAACACAGGTTTCTGGCATCAGGTCTCCTTCAGTATGACAATAAAAGCTGTATGGAAGCCACTCTGTTTCTTGATTGGAAAAGACTTCTTGGTTAACAGCATTCCTGATCAGGATTCTCTGTGGATGGGGGAGAAGTAAGATTTTACCTAGTGAGTTGTAGGCTAAAGTAAGATTTAGCATCTGGCTTCTGTAGGAAGTGGTAGGGTTGTGGATTTCTAACCAAGTTAGGTTTGAAAAAAAAATTTTTTTAAGCCTGGGAAACATTAGTAATGGGTAAGAGGAAAGTACCCCATTTTTTGGTAGGGGGTCTCTCAGTCTATGGATGGTAAGACCCTTGGTAACCAAATCTACAGAGGAACACATCTATGTAAAGAGCAGCCAGGTCAAGAAATAGTACATTACGAGTGACTCAAGGTGCCACTCTCCATCCCCGTTTGCTTTCAGTAAGTGTCTTACCAGCTTGTGAATGTAGATGGAGTCACAGTTAAAGAATTAACTCAAATGTCACTGGCTCTTACCTCCATCTTCTCACACAGGAATTCCAGCCTCCATGTAAAAGAAACCACTTGAGTCAGAAAGTCTCCAATAGGTTAAAAAAACAACAACCGATTTTAAGCCTCTCCCGTGGTCTTCCTTATTCTGGACTCCATTTTTGTTTACTCTGCCCACGAAGCTGCTTATAGAACCCATGCACTCTCACCACAACTGCTGTGCCCACAATGGGAATGTTAACGAATGTTACTTTCTCCCTAAATGCTTCAACCATAGAGGTATCCACCCATGTGTCATATATATACAAGCTCAAATATGCTTGAATCTCAGTTTGAGCTCAAGGTAACACATACCTGCTGATTACATGATGAATGCCCTGGACCAAACAGTGGTGTGATCTGAAAAAAGACCCTGGCTGCTGTTACATTCCATAGCTCAATTTGGGACTTGTTGACTGGTTGGGGATAGGACAGGGCTTGAATGGCTTCCCAGTTGCTGAGGGACAATGGTGTTTTCCAGGGTAGATGAGGTGCTTGGTTCAATCAGGAAGTGTCAGGCATAGCCGCTCCCTCTAGTGGTCTGTGCCTTTCACCAGTGAAAACAGGGATGTCAGGTTGAGCAGTCTCGCTCAACTAATTCATCTCTTTCCTTGAGTTCCTCAGAACTATTTGTGAGTGCAGGGCATTAAAAAAACAGTATTTATCAGACAAACCCAACATAAATAATGTTCTACTAAAAATGCTAATGCCATATAAGACAAAGACAGGTTGTAGAAATGTTGCAGATGAAAGGAAGCTAATTAAATGTAACAACTAAATGTAACACCTCATCCTAGGTCAGAGCGGAGAAATGCTACAAAGGATATTACTGGATCAATAGATAAAATTGGAGTATGAGTGATAGGTTAGATAAAAAGTATTGTATCAATGTTAAATTTACCAAAGTTGTCATCTATACTGTAGGGCCATAAAGGAATAGGCCTATTCATAGGAAATGCACACTGAAGTGTTTAAGCATGGAGACATGTGCAATTTGCCCTCATATGGTATAAAAACTCACATACATTTATGAGTGTGTGCACTTAAAGCAAATGTATTAAAGCAAATGCTAACAATACATGTATGCATCTGCATAAAAAGTATATGGGTGTTCTATGCATTTTTATTTTTGCAACTTTTCTGTAAGCTTGACATTATTGCCAAATAAAAATGTTTTTAAAGAAGATAATTTCTGTTCATGCTTGATTGAACTCTTTTGTGCTGGTAGAGAATACTGAGGATATGGGTTGTGTTTTCCCAGGCAGGGCTACCAGACACATCTCCAAATGTAGTCAGAGACCCTGCATTAAGTTGCCAAGTATCATCTGAGGCCAACCCATCTCTTGACTTCCTCCATTCTACAAGATAGCACAAATAACAACTTTTTCTCCTAAGAATTATGGGTTGTGTTGATAAAAATGATATGAAAGATAGGTGTACAGATTTGTTAACCCTTGCTATGTGCCAGGAAGTGAGAATGTAGTAGGTACAAGAGGAGACATGACCAGTGTCCTCAAGAAGCCTTATGAGCTGTTGGGTTGCAGTCCATAAACAAGTAGTCACATTAATAAATATTTATTTCTAAATGAGTTGACCACAAAGTAGGTTTGAGAAGCCATGGGGGAACCTAGCCTTTCTCAGACAAACCTGGATTCAAGTCCCATGGATCGGATACATAGTTTTCCTCCCAGATTTTGCTAGGTAGTAGGTACTTTTGTAATGATGCTAAGAAAGGAGGAAATCACCAGTTTATCCTATTCTGGCTCAGCCCATCTGTTTGGGCTTAGCTCTCTAGCTGCTTTGTCAAGGAGACACCAACAAGTCTACTCTATTAATATCCCTTTTCTAATGGTCCAATGAGTTTTAGGAAAGCAGTCTTTCTACTTGATCTATTCACACATCTATGTAAACGCAGCAGCTAAACTCAATGCTTTTAGATGGCAAAGACCATCAAATAATATCCTCACGTGGAACATGGCAGCCTACTGGCTGAGTCATGAAAACAATATGACTGTCTTCCAAATGGACAAAATAATGATTTTTTTGGAGGGCAGTTATGATTCTCTCTCCCCCACCTTTCCATCCTGGGTAAGGCAGGAACAATAGTGAAGTCAATTGCCTTGGGTCTCCAAGGAGACAGTGTTAGGGAGGGAAATGTGTGTCTGTGAGAGACAGTGTATGTTTGCATGTGACACAAAGTGTGTTCTCTCTGTACTCTGTATGGGTTTCAGGTGGGACTGATCCATACCTCTGATGCATTCTGGTCCTGGTCAAGTAAGTTTCAGATATGGATCCAACAAATGTTTACTGAGCCCCTACAAAGTTCCAAGGCTTTTACTTTGTACGTCGACACATTTTATATCATTTAATCTTTACAGTAACCCTTTATGGTAGGAATTATCTGCATTTTACAAATGAGAAAACAATCGCAAAAAGGATCATTGATTTGCTCAAGTATATCATACAGCTTTTTTTTTTCTTTAAAACACACACACACATACACACACACACACACACACATACACACTATACTCTTAGCCTGTCTGTGTAGGTTGCTTATAGTTTTTCTTCTTTTGTCTCCTTTTGGAGCAATTGTTTCTCTTATCTCCTTTTGGAGCAATTGCTCCTTTTGTACAAGCCCCCTTCTTTCTCCTTTCACTAGCCCATGTGGGCTTTTCTTTTGTTAATACTGCATTAAATAGCACAAAAATCACGAATACAAAGAAACTGGCAAAGGTATTTGTCAATGAGATATCCTGCCTCCTCCACTTTTCTGTTTTCATACCCATATATGCAATGGGCTACATTTTTATAAGCTTTTCTTTTTTACCCCAAACGTATAACTGATATGTGATTGGTCAGTAGAAGCTGAAACACCCATGGAGAAAGATGTTTTATGGTTACAAGGGCACACCCCCCCACACACCACCCCCCTCCCACCCCACACAACCTTTTGGAGGAATATAGGATATGTACCAGTGTCAAAATTTTCCTGCCTTCCCAACCCAGAGCATTCCTGCCATTTAATTTTCCTTTCATTGACTACTTAGACCTCTTCTCCCTATCTATTTCTCTTCCAGTCAAGACCTTTTGAACACTGGAACTGTTCAATTCTTACTCTGTCAGGCCCATGGGCCATGGTCAAGTAGGTCCTTTAAATCTCGATGCCAGTTGGGAGTATAGGTGTTGTCATCTTTCATTACAGGTAGATCTGTGTGTCACTTCAGTAGGCTTGTGTATTCATTTCTTTCACTTTTTCTGACTCGTGTTCCAGGACCTGTTTATGATAGAAAAGTAAATACCCTTCACTGTCCAGCACATCCTTAATACTGGCCTTGGTGATGACAGCATCATCACATTTAAACCATTGGTCCTTGTGGTGCCGGATGAAGCTGGTATAGTGGCCACTCTCCAAGGTTCCTTGGTGATTAACCACAGCAAACAAGGAATACTTATTCTCGTTGTTTCCACTATTGGTTGGCAGCTGGAACTGTCCATTCATTCTGTTCTCTTTACTTGAGGCCATAAATGGTGTCATATCCAGCTCAAGAGGAAAGGAAATGTATGTAGTGATCTTGCGCCTCTGTTTGGCTGAGTGTTCAAACCGTTTAAAATGAAAACAGGCAACAACAGGTAATTTATTCATTGTAAGCTGTTTGGTAGATTCCTGGTAGCTTTGGCAACTACCACACTTGATTTTGGCACTGCTTCCTAAGTGTTCTGGCCTTGTAAACCTTCGCAGGCAGTCCATGAGTGTGGTGATTCCTGGAATGTGACTTTCCCCATTCACACTGCTCTCCCTCCCTGGACTCATGGGCCAGAAAGAGGTGCAAGAGCCAGGTAAGTCCAAACTGATGTCCCAACATGGGTCTATTGTGGTAGAGACACCATGGCAGGCCTGACAAGTGACATCAGACTGCAGGCCACCTGTGAAGATTTGGTCTATAATGCAGTTACAGTGGTTGGGATTGTTGGCTGCCTTCCCAACATCATCACCTTTGCAATGCCTGTGCAGCACGTCTAATGCTGCAATGAGGAACTCATGGGCATCCTGTTGCCTGTACCCTGCTAAATGGCGTGCATGTATCCATACCAGGTGCAGTAATTTATAGGGAACATGAGGAGATGGGTTTCCAGAATACAATTCTCGAAAAAGTGAAGACATCTCACAGACGAGACACAACTCAGGGCTTGGCATTTCACATCTGTGCCTGTCAGAGAGGAAGAAATCTCTCAGGATTGGAGTGTGAGTGAGTGCCTGGACAATGCAGTTCATAAAGCAAGTGTTGCCAAGATTGATGAGTCCTCTTAAACCAATGGTAAAGCTTGAGGTGATCCTTCTTCTCCGTGGGTTGTGTCCCAGCAGTTCTAACTCTGGTTTGGTTGTTTCCCAGGTCGGATATTTCTCACCAAGGCCTGGTTTTGAACACTGCTGGTGAGAAACCTCTGTTGAAGTGGAAGCTTGTAATTTCAAAGCTTCTCCTTGCTCTTCTTTGGCAATTTGCTCAATGTCTTTGTCATATATATAATCCTTACACATAAAGCAGTATATACCTCCATAGTAAAGGTCTACGGCTAAGTTGTGTTGTTTTGTCTCAGCGTGTTCATGAATGTGTTTCTCGGTGAAGCAGCCAAAGAAGACACAGGAAAGGCAAGAGTGGAGTCTGTTCAAATGGGTGCCACACACATGGCAGATGCACGACTTTGCCTTGCTTTTCCTGGTCTCTGGGGTTCCACACCACACGAAGCACTGGTAGATCAATCGCAGTTCCTGCCTCCAGTTCTCTCCCACCTTAAAGCTGTTCACGTGAGAGCAGCCTGGTGGACCCAAGGCAAAATCCACATCCAGACATCCGCCCCCAGGGCCGCGCCGGGGCCGGGGCCGGGGCCGGGGTGGGGGCCGTGGCCTAGGCTGCGGCGGAGTACGGAGCCGGGTCTGGGGCCGGGGTCGGGGTCGGAGGCGGGGAGCACGACGGCGGTGCGCAGAGGGTAGGGGGGGCCGCGGGGGGTGGGAGGGGAGGGTGGGGGGAGGAACCTCGTCGCTGCTGCCGCCACCTCCACTCCGCGCTGGGTCCTCATCCTCCAGCTCCTGCTTCCCCTTCGGCTCCTGCTCCGCCTCCGGGACTGGCTCGGGTGCTGGCTCCAGCTTGAGCTCAACCCGGTGGCCCGGACTCTCGGCTGTCGCTACCTTCCCAGTGGCGTCCACCTTCCCCGCCACCTCCACCTTCTCGGTGGCGTCCACCTTCTCCGCCGCCTCCACCTTCCCCTCCACCTTCCTCTCCGCTGTCTCGGCCGTCTCCGCCTCCTTTACCTCCTCCGCCTTCACTGGCGGCGGCTCCTCCCCCTGTTCGCAGGGCTCAGGCGGCCACTGGGCGTGGCGGCGCGGGGACCACGCAGACTTAAGGTGTCCCCCGCCCGGCCTGAGGGAGCGCGGTAGCGGTTGCAGCTGTACCCAAAGGGGACTTTCACTGAAGGAGGCGGCGGAAGCAGGCGACGCCCCCGGGAATCCTCCCGCCGTAGCCCCCTAGCGGAGACGGCTTCTGCGGCCAGGCCCCGTTTCCTTTAATTCAGTATTTCCCAAACTTGCTTGTTCACGAGAATCACGTGGGAGAGCGTGTAAAAATCACCGATTCCTCGGCGCCACCTGCAGACCTACTGAAGTAGAATCTCTAAGGGAGGTACTCTGGAACCTGTATCTTTAACTAGGGCCTGAGAGGATTCTTATGATCAGGCAAGTTTGGGAAACACAGCTCTAATTCATTGAGGCTGGCGGGAAGGGGGGCGGGGACCGCGCAGTCTCTTTAAGGCGCTTCCAGGGCTCAGCTCCAATCGCTGCTCTGCCCCCCTTCGTCGTCTCCTCCCCTCTTCACGTCCTTCTTTTTTTCCAGGCAGGCTTTCCCTAGCTCTGCGGGGCTAGGGACAGAGCGAGTGCCAAGTACACAAAACGTTTTTTTGAGCTGATGAAATGTCACTTCGGAGGCTGGGTTCTGAGGAGCACAGTCAGAAGCTGTGATAGGCCATCATTTCTGCAGCGGAGCCCGCTCCTAGTTTGCCCTCCCACCCCAAACTCTGCCCTTCTCCATGAGGATGGAGCTCCAGCTCCACTGGGGGCACACAGGGCCAGATCCAGAGGGACAGAGATCCCATGGCTGCTAGGCCTGCAAAGGCATGCCCCTTGTCTATCTTATCGGTGCTCTGCAGAGTTTGTGCCTCCTCGCCTCCTCCTCGGTCTCTCAAGGCCAGGCTTTAAGGCTTTGGCCACCAGTCTTCGGGTTCTGCAGATGCTGCTGAGCAACTTGGGGGATGGGGGTGGTAGAATTGAAGGCCAGCAGGAAGGACAAGACACAATAAGGCCATTCCTAGAGCTGGCACTTCCTCTGTTGTTGAGAGAGCGACCTAAACTCCAGGACATGGTCCCAAGACCCTGAAACCCTAGCAGAATCCCTGAGTTGGGCAGCAGCTTTGGTCTGTGGAGCTGCCAGTATGAGGTAGAGGTGGGTCTAAGGGGTCTCTTGAAAATCCTGTGGTGAGAGGCTGGGGTATTGGGCCTGTGAGAAGACAGCCCAGAACAAGTGTCTCAGGTCTTGGGCATGGCTGGGGGATGTGGCGAAGCAACTGTAACTGCTGATCCCAGGGAGTGCAGCCCAGGGTAGCCATCTAAACATGAGGTCAGAGAAAGAGTAGATAAGCAGTGCTTGAGGATCAGGGAGTATGTTCTAGAGATAGTTCAGTACTGTGAGTCCTGGGGTTGACTGACCTTGACCCAGTACATCCTGCCCAGCTTGTGGGTCTATGCTGTCTGACTATTATAAGAACAAAGTTCTCCTTGGCTTCACCACCTGGCCCCTTCCTTTAGGGAAGTGGGGTTCCAAGCCTCCTGAGGAATCCGGAGCCCATAGGGAAGATGTCTGGATCCCATCAGGCAGGCCCTTTAGTGGCTCTCCTAGGGTATAGAGGGTTCTCATTTCTCAGGTGAAGTAGACAGACAGTGGATACCCTATCAGTCATATTCTGGGGCTTTGCCCTACACACCAGGAAACCATGGCAGGAGGACTGGAACCACTGCTACTCAGGTTCCAAGAACTGCTCTGGTATCTAAGTCAGCTCTTGCTTAAACTTGCTTAAACTTCTCGAAGCACCCCAGTATCCTTCTAATACATTCTTACTCTTTGTAGCCTGCTCTCAAAAGACTCAAAACTAGCATACTCACTGAAGGAATCCTGCTGCTTCTGCTGCTGCTACCACAAGTAACTGAAATTATGGAATGTGCTTATAGTGTGGGCAGGAAGAACTCTCCTCTCACCTCCATGGGGTAACAGACATCAAAGAGACCTAAAGATCTCTGTGTACCGTGAAAGACTAACCTGGTGAACTCATTAATAACCACAAATCTACCTGTACTCTGCCCAGGCCATCAGGTTCTGGAAGTGGAAAGCTTGGCCACCATCCACTCAACAAATGATAATTCAACATTTTTGAGCAGGCAGCCCAGCTGTGGAGGTGCTCCACAACCTGACCTCAGGACTGAAATCAGTGCCAGGTGTCCCAAAAGGGGAGGGGTCTAGGTCATCAGCAAGGAGCCAAACCAAATCAACCCAGTTTCCATCAAGTCAATTTCAATTTATGGTGATCCCATGTGTAAGGGGCAGCCAAGCCAAAAGACCCACGGGGGAGAAAAAAAAAAAAAGACAATTTTATCTTTTATCTTTTAAAGAGTTTCTCATGGAAAAATCAGATTTGTTGTAGTTCGTACTCCTTCATTGTGTGTTGATTTTATTTTGAGGAAATCACATGTGAAGGATTTCACCATGCTATTTTGTTGCCTAGTGCTTGTATAGAGTCGATCCTGTGCAGAATTTAACCACCTCTGCCCCACAAACACCTAATGGAAAGTTAGGAAAGGGGGTGGCCTAAGGAGACAACTTCCTATTGCAGTTGATGTGCCTGGGTGTCAAATACAACTCTGACCACAAGGTGGCAAAAGAGACGTGGCAATTCCATACATGCCTGTAGGTAAAAAACTATTGCTACAAAATAATAGAAACCTTTATTAAACAAAAGTATCCAAATGTGAAGCTATTGTTTCTCAGCATAGCCTCCATCTAAGTTTCTGAAGGTAGTGTTTCCATCTCTCTAACTCTTCCCTGGAGAATTATACACTTCAATTTACACCATGTCAAGAAGGCACTGTTGGCATTCTCCATGGCTTCAAATTTGTGTTCCTTTTAAATGTTCTTTGAGTTTAGGGAACAAAAATAAATCTGACTGATTGTGAGGGTTGGAAATCTAAAGGTGGACATATTGCAGCAAGGAGGGTAGTGATTAACTTACCTTTCTAGGAGCGGAGGACCCTGGGACCATCGATAGAGAAAAGCGGAGAGCGGGATCCTACCCAGAGAAGCTGTGAGACCTGAGATGGAGGCAGAGAAGACAATGCCAAGAGATGGTGTGGCTGGGGACCTGGGGGGGGGGGGGCGTGCAGGCTTACAGGGTACAACCCTTGGTTGGGAGAGGATGCATGTATGGGATGATAACTATGCCAATGAAATGATAGATGATGGAATGAATGTAAAGCTAATGTTCTCCCATGTAGACTATCACACAATTCACAATAAAACATTAAATTAAAAAAAAGTCTGAAGGGGCAAGATAAGGGCTGCAGGATGTATGGGGCAAGGTTTTCCAACAAAAATCACGTACAGTCCTTGCTAGCTACCCTTGAAA